CCTAAGCCCTAAACCCTCACAGCCAAGGCCCCAAGACCTATAAACATTGTACCCGGAGAGCCCAGTACTTGACTAGCTAAAAACTGCATACGACACTATGGCCCCTTCTCCGGATACAGGGCATATCATCTAAATTACGGAGTTGGAGGAGCTTTTTATTTCGATTCCGGGGTGCCGTCCTTTAACTGCAGATTTTTGGAGACTTCCGTTCATGGGTTAAGGGAGTTTGGCATACAGCTCAAAGGGTAGATGGTAATAGTTCCCTCGAATTTTCCGTCTCAACATGCAACAACATGTACACAAACATATGGGTAGTTCTCTAAATTCGTGTCCTTTTGCAGGTCCCAAATATAGTACGGCACCCGTATAAAAAGGGGCCTAAAGGGGACCCTAATTTAGAGAACTACTCATATACACAGGCCAAAACCTGCTGCGCCAGCCTCGAGCCCTGCGGTGCCGGCGGCGGCACTGCCAGTCGAAGTAGCCGGGCTCCCGATGTCTGGATTGATGATTATAGTATTTTATGAGTAGGTTATCGCTCTTATAGTTATTGTAGGTTGTTTACAGTTACAGTTGTTTGTAGTTGTTGTAGTTGTCGGTTTAGGTAGATCGGGCCTAAGGGCGTAGTTTTTGAGGGTTCTGATCCAAAGGCTTTTGCAGGCAGGTTTGGCAGTACGTAGCTCGTAGGGTTCGGGGTTAGTGCGGGGATAGGGTCTCACGGGGTGGATCTTCGGTCGTGTGTCCAGGGCCTGTACCCATAATTTCCTAATCACCATGCATGTTCCTTAGGGTTCCATACTGTAGGTGTGCTATGTAGGTGCCCCAAAGCCCTATTCTAGCCAAAATTCGGGCGTCTATGGTTAGGATCATACAATCAACCCAAGAAGCTCGTGGAGGTTCGGGTCAAGTGTGCAACTAACCGTAACAGCCCAGGGTTACGGGTACGAAAACGCGTTGTTGAGGGTTTGTAGGAGTAAGCAGCAGTGACCCACTCTGCACTTAACTAGGCTCCTGCGGTCAGCGTTGACACCTCATGTAGGTCTGCTGTTTTCTAGTATTGCAGCGTGTTTCCTAAAGTTGAGTGTGCATGGACCGACAGCTCCAGAATCCGCAGAACTTGATTGTAGCCTATAGATAGCCAAACCTTTCACTGAGCTGGAAAAGACGTAGCCACTTAAAGTCCCAGGTTGGACTATACTAAACCCTGAATTAAACCCTATAGCCTCTAGAACCCAGTTTCTCCACGGTTGGAGCCTTCTTAAGGGTTTGGGGTCCAGGGACTCAAGATAAAAAGGCAGACCGGACATCAGAAGCATATCACTACTTACCAACACCCTCCTCCAACGAAGTCCATGGTCTTTGTTAGGCATTTGACGGCTGATGGTTTGCACCGGTTAAAGTCTTTACTTAGGAAACGGGGTAATTAGCAAGCACAAATGAGGGTTTTGGTACCAGATCTCGACTATATACTGGCCCGTTCACCCTCTGAGACTGAGTTCGACCTTCAAAAGCTCGGCTCAGTAGTAAAAGGTCCATAAAGCTCAATGTTTGCAATGTCGCCAAGTTGAGACTATGCAGCCAACCTCTCTGCAGCTGTGCACGGTGATCACGCTCAAAACGACTTCCCCACTGTACCCCCTAAACCCTTAACCCTTAAACCCTAAACCCTAAAACCGTCAACTATACCGTAGTTGATAAATTGATCTCTGGCTCGATCGAGTGGCAATCCAGGCCACTTTGCCGAAGCCAGCTGCACCCGTCTCAGTGGTCTTTGGGTTTTGGGATACTTTGCGTTTACGGTTTCGGGTTCGTCCTATGATATGGTGTCGCAGATATCCAGCATGCAAACGAGCCGGGATTCAGATCCGGGAAGGTGCTCTTCTCGCCTGGCGGATTAAAGTTCTGAGTCTCTGCGACAAGATGTGAGCGCGCAGGCATCCGTCCCGGCGATGCAGCCACATCACTGTCCGGCAGCCCCATTGTCGGCACCATCCAGCGACTGAGCTCTTGACTGATCAGTTTTTCTTGTATTACGTTTCTGCTGTCAGTTCAAACGAGTTGCGCGCAAGCAGATGCAAAAAGCGCCCAGGTTGCGTCGCGCCGGCGCCGACCCCGGCTGCGGTCCCCTCGGCCTGCATCTCGAAGCCCAGTGCCCCAGTTGCGCCCTCTGCAGTTGGGCCCTCTGGGCCACCGCCCGGACCAGCAGCTAAAGCTCCGCTGGCTCTTCCGAGCTCCAGTCCCGGACCCAGCCCGCCGCCACCAACACCTGCAACCCCTGAGACACCCGCCACCGCCACACCAGCACTGCCGGCCGCACCAGCAATTCCTGCGAGGCAGTGGCCTCAGATGTTTTTGTTTGCATGAACCTGGAACAGTTTAGTCAGTTGCGCACCCTCAACCCAAAATACCATTAGAGCGCGTAGTTTGAGTTGATTTTGGAGATGGGTGCTCGATCCTGCAGGCCGAAAAGTGCGACCTCCCCGGCCGGCGTCCAAGCGGCGGGTCCAGGGGAGGATCTATAGTAGCTTAAAGTTATTATTACTGTAGAGCTGATACAGGGTTCACGGAACCTGGACCGTCTAGATGGGCAACACTGCTTGCCCAGAGGCTTAAATCCTGAACCCGCAAACCCCTTTAAACCCTACAGCATGCTAACGCCGAAGCACCCCATAACCCTACAATCTCTCAAAGCCACTGGAGACCCTCATAGCCGTAGTGTGCCTGCCCAAAAATCTCCAGAAACTTCCAATGCCCCTATTAAGCAACAGTCCTGAAAAATTACGGCACTGCCCGCAGATTAAGAACATTTCTTTTGAAATGAGTATCAAAAAGCTTACAAAAATATAAGTCCTTGACGAATCATGAAACCTAGAACACCCCATAGAAGACCTTTTATTTATAATCCAGGGCTGAATTTCTGAGGGTTCCTGATTGTCCCGGTAAGCACAATATCCTTGAACAAAACCCTGTTGTAATTACTAAGGCCTGTCTAGTTAGAGGCAGCCCTTTCCGTATAGTTAACCTGTAGAGTGTAGAATCCTTAAGGAAGCCCTTCTAGAACCCTCAAGGAACCTTATTCTAACTAATATTTCGCGCACTATGGAGGCCTAAATAGTTGACAATTCCATTTTGGGGGTTTCTCATTATTCCTATATCGTATAATATACCCCAAAGCCCTTTTCTGTTTATTAAGGCCCCTACATTATATTTAAAATACCCCAAGGCCCTTTTTCTAATCATTAAGGCCCCTACATTATATTTCTTCATCCCCTAAACCCTAAAATCTAAACCCTAAACCGGTATTGGAGATACTTGGCCCCGAGGCGCAGGCTGCTGCGGCCTTGCTGGGACCTCCACCACCCAGGAGACTCGGGGTCTACGGGTGAAATAGGGTTTGGGATTCAGGGTTTAGGGTTTGTAGGGTTTAGGGTTTATAGGGTTTATAGGGTTTATAGGGTTTGGGATTCAGGGTTTATAGGGTTTCGGATTTAGGGTTTACAGGGTTTATAGGGTTTAGGGTCTATGGGTTTACAGGGTTTCGGATTTAGGGCTTATAGAGTTTATAGGGTTTAGGGTCTATGGGGTTGAGGGTTTGGGATTTAGGGTATATAGGGCTTATAGCGTTTAGGGTCTATGGGTTTATAGGGTTTAGGGCTTATAGGGTTTATAGGGTTTAGGGTCTACGGGTTTATGGGGTTTGGGATTCAGGGTTTAGGGCTTATAGGGTTTGGGGTTTAGGGCTCATAGGGTTTAGGGTTTATAGGTTTTAGGGTTTATAGGGTTTAGGGTTTGTAGGGTTGAGGGTTTGGGTTTTAGGGTTTATAGATGTTAGGGTTTAGGGTTTATATTGTTTAGGGCTTATAGGTTTTATAGGGTTTAGGGTTTATAGGGTTTAGTGCTTATAGGGTTTATAGAGTTTAGGGTTTATAGGGTTGAGGGTTTGGGATTTAGGACTTGGGGTTTACAGGGTTGAGGGTTTAGCTTGTAGGGTTTATCGGGTTTAGGGTTTATAGGGTTTGGGATTTGGGGTTTGGGGTTTATAGGTTTCAGGGTTTAGGGTTGAAAGGGGTTTAGGGTTTAGGATTTAGCGTTTAGGGATTATGTAGGTTCTATACGAGCATCCAACACTGAATCGTTACACTGCAAGACTCACTTTATAAGCCCCTTAGGCTCTAATTATTCTAAAATACCTTAGAACCGACATCCCAAGCCTCCAGCCATGAGCTGATTTTCTGAAGACCTGATTTCGAGGTGGGCTTTTTTATACCCTAAACCCTAAACCCCTAAACCCTATTTCGAGGGGGGCTTTTCTATACCCTAAAACCCTAAACCCCTAAACCCTATTTCGAGGTGGGCTTTTCTATACCCTAAAACCCTAAACCCCTAAGCCCTGAACCGTTTCTCTTCTTGTCAGGACGGATACACCTGCTGCTGTGCCCTCACTTCTGGGCCGGCCGGCGTCGACTCCTTGTGTCCCACAGGCTCTGGCTTTGCTCTGTGTGGTCCAACCTGCAAAAAGTTAGTGCTTGGGGGAATTCGCTTTAAGGGTTCTAGGATCTGCTGAAAGAATGGACGGAGCCTCAGCTGCAATTCCTTGTAGATTTCTTGTTTCCCTTATTCAGTTCTGTAGGGTCCGATCAAGCAAATTGTTCGATGTAGGTACAGTCCCGACAGCACAACACCTAAGACTCAATTCGTGGCGCCGCGAGCCTTGCCAGCTGGTCGCTAACCCTAGCATTTCCGAACTCTCCGTTGCATCTATCATGACCTGGGCAGGCTGCGACCTTATCCTCCAGCCCGGTGCTCAGCGAGTGAAAATAGAGGGCACATAAAGGTAGCAACATGCTTGGAATATCATCGTTGGAGGGCTGGGGCATGCTCCAGTTTTCGGTTTCGAGCTAGTATCGAAGAAGGTTCTTGTTCACGTGGCTTAAGAGCATATGGTCATGACTGCGGCGCTGTCTGCGCAGGTCCTGCAGTGCCGAAGATCGGACCAGGCGCTACACCTGCAGCACCAGCAGGCCCATGCGGTCCACCACCTGGGCCAACGGTGCCAAAGATAGGACCAGGGGCTGCAACACCTCCAGCACCAGCGGGCCCATGCGGTCCACCACCCGGGCCAACGGTGCCGAAGATAGGACCAGGGGCTGCAACACCTCCAGCACCGGCAGGCCCATGCGGTCCACCACCCGGGCCAACAGTGCCAAAGATAGGACCAGGCGCTGCAACAGTGCCAAAGATAGGACCAGGTGCTGCAACACCTCCAGCACCGGCGGGGCCATGTGGTCCGCCACCCGGACCAACAGGTCCACCACCATCAGGTCCTGGAAAGGCACCAGGACCAACACCGAATGCGTTGGCCGCTGCAGCACTCCTAAAACCAGGAGCCCACACACCGCCAACACCAGCAGGACCCACCGGTCCACCACCTGGACCCTCTGGTCCACCGCCAGGCCCTGCAGGACCACCACCGGGACCGGCAGGCCCGCCGCCAGGACCTGCAGCCTGTCCACCAACAGCGTGCAAACCGTCAGGTCCAGCTGGGCCTCCGCCTGGTCCTGCAGGCCCACCGCCTGGACCAAGCGGCCCACCACCCGGACCAGCAGCACCAAAGTTATCAGGACCTGCCAGCCCGCCACCCGGACCTGCAGGACCACCTCCCGGACCAACAGGGCCACCTCCTGGACCGACAGGGCCACCACCAGGACCAAACAGGCCTCCAGGACCAGCGGGACCACCGCCTTCAAAACCATCAGCGCTTCCAACAACACCATCTGCACTTCCCACAACGCCGTCTGCACTTCCAACCCGGCCATCTGCACTTCCCACATCCACGCCTTCAGCACTGCCAACACGGCCATCTGCACTTCCCACATCAACGCCAGCAGCTTGCCCAACGACGCCGGCCGCGCTGCCAACGAGTGCATGCGCTCCGCCAGGTCCTGCGGGCCCACCACCAGGCCCTGGTGGATCACCATCTCACATTTCTGCCTCAGCACCTCCACCAGGTCCTGCAGGGCCACCTCCTGCAGCATGTCCGACCGCAACCCATTTTTCTAGCTGTGCAGCACCTACCCATGCCAGTTGCTGCTCTGCTCCACCTCCGGGTCCTGCTGGACCGCCACCTGGACCATGTGGACCGCCACCCGGACCGACAGGTCCCCCACCGGGACCAGGCATGGCAGATCCTCCTCTGGAGGCGCGATGGCTTTTGATTTGCCCAAACCCTTCACCCCCGCTTTGTGTTTGCAGGAGCCTTGTCAACTTGGAAGAGCTTTGAGCCCCCACGAGCCTCCATGATGGTTTAGGCTTGTGGGGAAGAGTGCCCACGAAATGCAGAAGCCAAAAGAATCTTTATATAGTAGTATCATTCCCTTATAGTCTCAATATTTCTATACTGTAAAACTCCCGAAAAGCCCATTCTGCATCGTTCAGGCCCCTTTACATTAAGCTGCTCACTCCAGCAAGAGGTGCGAACCAAGGCTTCGAGTATGAAATTCTCACTTGACTTATGCAACCACGCTTCGGCAATTTTACATACAGCATCGGTGACTTAGCATGTATGGTTATCAGCTATCAGATCCGTCTTTAAAATACGGTTAGAAGCGTAAGTAGTCCCCGACATTTACAAAATCTAAGTTCGTGGATGCCACCTAGATTCCAACCCGACATCCAGCAAGCTTTCTGAAGATCTAATTGAACGCGCACACACACACAAACATACCCTGCTTTGAAGCACTAACACCTGCATGTAAAATCAAAGTTGAGGTCGAAAACCCCAAGGTTTCTAGACAGAATCCCTCAGAAAAACAGCCGAGCCATAGGAAGCCTTGTTCGGGAGTTGCAGGGTTCGGCCCGGGTTTGGCTTTTAGGATGCTCCACTTCGGCAAGGAGCTTGATTCAGGGTGGACAGAATCAGAGCCCATCGAATGTGAAATCCTGTCCAACCAGAGGTTTTATCTACCCATAGGCCCCTAGGTAGTTCCTTTTTGGGATTGCCTTATAGGATTCTAGATATGAACCATAAAGAGGAACTACTTAGCGGCCTATGGGTAGTGCTTAGTTGGGGACTGCAGCGGCCGACTGACCACCTAACACCTAACACGCCAAGAGTCTAGGGTTTGACTAAAATGGGGTCTGGGGTCCGTTCTACAAGCAAAATAGTGGAAGCATCAAGCATAAAACTAAAACGTCCTATAATCGCATATACAGGTTTTAGGGTGTATGGGGTTCAGGGTTTGCCACACAGCCCGTGCTTAAAAAGGAAGAAAGGCACCTGAACCCTTAAACAAATATTTAGGTTCCTGTAGCATATAGTATATTGTAGTTTTGTCTAGTATAGCATAGGTTGGTATAGCACCGTAAAAGACAGTATGTTGTAGTAAATTTGCCAGGATGCCGGTGGCGCCAAGGCAGGCCCCTAGCTGCAACAGAATCTGATTCAAAGTAGGGCAAAGAGAAGCGGCACTATGAAGATTACTCTAAGGCTGTCGTCGAAAGGTTACGTCAAAGGGTTCGATAAGGGCTTAGAAGCGCTTCCATAAGGCATACTTTGAGGGTTCGTACACGAGTCATTAACATGTCAAACCGAATTGTATCGAATTCGAAGAACCGGTTAAGCGGGGGACTAGGCGCGTGGGCTCTTGGAGTGCAGTTCTTGCAGGGTTGGCAGAACGGCGGGCCATGAGACTCTAAATTCTCAGAGGATCAAAGCTCTAAGCCCCTTCGCGAGCACTGTCTTGTCATGTCATGGTTTTGGTGAACCAATCGTTGCATTGATAATCGCAAAGTTTAGTCCCCGAGCCCCAGAGCCCCAGAAGTCGCTTGCTGGGTTTAGCGCTTAGGGGTTTAGGGTTTAGGATTACTAACCCTGTTTTCTTGCCACGTCCTTTATTTCTGACTGCAGCAGCAACACGGACGTTCAGCAGCAGCAGCGACCACCACCACAACGACAAGTTACATCGGAGAAACCATTACCCATTTCTCCACAAACATTCTTCACTGTCCCCGTAACATTTTAGGAGTTCTCCTCCACAACAACCCCAAACCCTCAACCCTAAACCCTAAACCGCCTAAACCCTCAACCTTATGCCCCAAACCCCCCGAGCCCCAACGCCAGCTCGACGGAAAGATGGACGCGGCTGCACGGAGGAAGGCAGAGCTGGACGCGAAGATGGCGGCCCGGCAACGGGAGGCCGGCGGGTTTAAGGGTTTAGGATTTAGGGTAAAGGTTTTAGGGTTTAGGGTTTAGGGTTAAGGGGTGCAATTAGCGGTGAAATATGTAGTTCATTGGCCTATACTGCAAGAAAAACCTATATAGCTCTTCGTTGTTAGTAACATTGTGTTTTGAGGGACAGCCTATAACGTTCTCTTCTTTTATAACATACTATGTTTCAAGTTTGACGGCGGCCGGTAGGGTCTGGGAATTGAGCTGTTCTACACTTAGGAGTACCTTCTTTTTCGGGGTGCTTTTGAATAAATAAACGCCTTGCAAATAGAATATACCGGTCCCTACTTGTCGGTACTCGCCAATAGGGACGGTTCATGCATGGATGTCAAAACAGTTGCACATAAGTGTAAGTCTGTTTCTCCTTGTCATGACCAGACTTTCTACGTCACCTGGTCCTTCGAGTATGGCTTAGGCCTTCATAGGGCTTCGAATGTCGAGGCGCCGTGTTGTTGATGAGGTCTAGAAATTGCGATGTTGTCATGTATGTTGTTACAGCCCCTGTTTCGTACTCCTTGAGACCTACTTCATTCCCTTGTGCGAGTGCGAGAGTCGAAACCGCAAAGCCGAAGACCGTGGAGCCCTAAAGCCCTTTAGATTCGTTCCCCTCCCCTCAAAGCCTGAAGCTGGCAATCCTGTGGTGAATACCGCTAGCTGCTCAGCCGATGTGCTTCGTCGTACCAGTAACCTCGCCAGGCTTGCCCCAGTTCGGAGAGCTGATAAGTCTGACCTTAAATCCCTAAAATACCTAAAGTCCTGAACCCGACAACCCGAAAACATAGAACCCCAAACACCTAACCCTGAAAGCCTTGCGGCAAAAGGCCGAAGAGCGCCGGGCAAAGGCAAAGGCCCGAGCAGCCGCCCGAGACCCCAGTGGTGCAGGGGGCTTGGGGTTTAGGGTCAATTTAGTGTTTAAAATGGTGGGTTTAGGGTTTAGGGTTTAAGGTATTGAAACAGGGGTTTAGGGTTTAGGGTGAGTGCCGCAGCCAGTAGAGCTGCAGATTTGCCTTGCCCTCGGTCTTTTGTTCTTCAGAGTACTCGGCAGTTACAATAGGCCTGGATGCAAAAAGGGTCTAGGGTTTAAGGCATGGTGGGTCCAGGCACCGGACCTCCCCACACCCAACCAACGGAGATACGACATGCATCTTGCTGGTACGGCCCTATGACTCCTGCAGCCTGTCTTCGGGCCGGGCATTTTTTCTTAGGGTGTGTTGCTCAGGTTTTGCAGGGTGTTTTCGTTTGTTCAAAGGGTTTCGTCGTGTTGTGTGGTGCTTCGGTTTGTGCTCCTGGGCTATGCGCAGGAAACCCTAAACCTAAACCCTATCCAGCCATGCGAGGGGGGAAAAAACACTATCCGCGTGTTCTATTTTTTGTGGTGTTCTGACTTCATATAGGTGCCTCAACAGTTAGAATAGGGTTTTGGGG